TTTTTTTTTTAGCGGGTTTGTAAAACAAAATTTAATGATCTTCGATCTGACTACCAATTGCATTATGCATGATCAAATTAGTTTGTATGTGAATTTGACACAATTGAGCTGAGACATCGTTGAGATACCAACGCTTGCTTTACTCTTACCAAATCAATACTTGGGTTTTCGTTAATTAGGAGAATCTATTTTGTAATTATTTTGAATATAACCCTTCATTCAAAATTAATTACACTTTTTTTCTTGGTGAGAATAATAACGCCTCTTTAGTATTATGAAATGGATGAAGAGGATTAAAAAAAAAACTATTTTGATGAAAATGGATAATCCAGATCGTGTATGTAGTAGGCACGGGTTATATCGTTCGTTGCCACTATTAATTTGGCTTTAACTTATACTTCCATACTTGTTGATATCGCAGACAATTTATTTCTGTGCTAGCTGGCTCATGTTTTAAATCGAATTACTCTCACTTAAACCTACACTCGACGCTAAGGCCATTATGAAACATGGAATGGTTTAATATTTTATTGTTGATAAGCGAGAGAGAGAGAGAAATGGGGTTTAACGTCCACTCGACACAAACTAGGTCATTTCGGGACTAACATATGGTTTAATTTTATTTCAATAATTCGCTTGCGCGTAGGGGTCTTTAGCAGTGGGAGGAAACCGGAGGACCCGGAGAAAACCCACGAGGTTGGACAGGGGACCCTACTTCTTGTCACGTACAACCGATGAATCGAAACCCCGCCAGTTGACTCAATGACAGGCTTTATGATACAGCGCGCACGTGCTAACCATTCGGCCATCCAACCCCCCTTGTTAATAAGCAAGGGAATTAATAAAAAGAAAATAGTACCCTTGATCCTAAAGGTTATAGAAACTCTATTAATTATATTAGAATTCGTGTACTTTACCAAAAGAACCGACCTTTCAAGGACAAAGTAGTAGTGGGTGTTTCGAAAAGCGTAAACATACCATGCCTCGTGCACGACACATCCACTAGTACCATAAGACATTAGGTAAATACAGAAACAATTGTGAGAGTGAAATTTTTAGCTGTCAACGGTCAATTTAGATATTAAATATTTTCAAACATATTGTTGTTGTTAGTGTTACCTCCCTAGCTAGAAAACTCCATCGTATCGGTCCAAATAAGAAATGTTTATTCCGTAAGCTGGTGACTGGGTTATATTACTTTAAATGAGCAGGAAGTAAACGATTTGAAAATTAAAATCATCCCATATTTCGTATAGTTTCACACCTGGTGTCTAGTTTGGGTAAATATTTGGAGGTAAATGTGAACATTGCGATTTAACTACAATCTGATTAAAATACAGATCTATATATTTCGTTTCGTTTTCATACTTTCGATGGCCTACACTACATAAAGATCTGACCGGTTGTACTGGAAGGTCGCGTCAGAGGTCGTACGAGTGGCATTTGACCCTATTACGTCAGCCATTGATTAATCAATCAGCGTTGACATTTCTAGTGGTTTACCCACAGTTACGTGCATCGCACGCCAAGAACTCGCCGCAACAGACCGTTTCATTGGCTAATCCTTCACTTCAACCAGAACGCCGGTAATATAACAACTCTTTCAGATCCTAGTGTAGTAAAGACAAGCAAAATGAAATTTTGAACTATAAAAAACGAAACGAAATAGGATCTATGTTTTAACGATGGATAAAACCATAATTCAGATTTGGTCAGTCTTAAGGAAATCACGAGTTTGATTTATCGGACATAAGCTATATCAATCATTGTCAATACAACATATTTTATAGTTCCATAAAACTCTCCTGCTAACTTCAGCCATCACTGTCACTCACTACTGCGTGATATTAAAAACACCGTACACGATTTTACGTTTTCATGTAAGTGACCTTGATAGTTAAAAGAGGCAAGTCTCTAACTCAGTATCATCCAGTCTTCGACGTTGAAAAAACGACTTATTGGTCAATTTAAATCAACATTACCGTGAAAAGGTGGGCTTCTGGTATCCAATATTTAAGACAAAATGAAAATTTTAAAATTGGCACACGAATCGCGTGCCCAGAATGCTTTCGAGCGCCATTTGCAATGAAGCGACTCGATGAACGAGATTTAACATTAACCACTGGAGAATATTACCCGTGTAGACTGGAATAACCAGACGCCATTCAATTCGAACTTTCGTGTATTTCGCCGAACACGATTAGCAATTACAGTAAAAACAGAAACACGATTGAATGTAAATTAGTTTATATACATTCTTATTACATTATTATATGCGTTGAGACCCATTCGTGTCAATTTATAGGTGCCAAAGAATAATAGAGATTTAGCTACTTTAAATTTAAGTAAGATATCCATCAAACTTATGTTCTTCAAATCTCATCTGTTTACTGATTAATTTTTAGAATTGATAAAAGAACATTTTACAGCAGGAATGTTTCTTCTTAAGTCTCTCGCAGTAACTAAAGAACAAAATGAAGGCATTAATGGGTTAACTGTACTTTTATCAATTCTTAGATTTTTCTTCGCCGATAAGAAGTAAATAATCCCCCAGATGTTTTGAATTTAAGAATTATTACAAAATTTCGGTGAACTGGTTAGTTTTGTTTTTCTCACGCGAAAAAAAAAGAGAAAAGAAAATCATTTCAACAGTGAAAAATGCAAGCTATATAAATAATATATATTTTAAAACCGCAGGGAAGTGTTTCTAGCCACATCGTTGGTCAACTTTACACAAGAAGACTATCAGCATTAATTGTATTAGTAGCTTGATGAAATTTACCACGTGTGAACATGTGTCTTTGTTAATCCAAAATTTCGTAAAATGGTCGGGTTTTCTGTGGTGTGGTTTGGAATTATAAAACTAAATGGTACTGTCATAAACAAACTTTAGTTTGGGAAGTGGACACCGATGTCCAGCAAATACTACGAAACCAAATTGCCTCAACTAAACTAGGTCAGTTTTACAACCTATACGTACTAAATGTAGAACTAGAGGGCATTACTGGTCTTAACAACGGATTTCGGTTGGTATTTGTCGTGTAAATTCTTGCAAACGGAAACACAGGTGTCATTTGTTTGAACGCCATTCTGCCATGAAAGCTACTAAAGACCTTAGTATGCGGTTTACTATTTTACTAACACGTTATACATAAAATACATTTAAAGCTATTATTGTCAAATTCATCTAAGAACTAGGTTACAAATCTCACCAAAAAACACTTAGTTTCTTGTTTTCTTAATGAATTTATCATATTGATTTTTAGCAGTTTTAGCTGAGGTATCAGATGATTTAAGCCGGCCATTGCTTTTGTCACGCATTGGAACTTGGTGGGAAATGCCATTGAGTGAGTTATTTAGTGTGCGAAGCGATGAATTTAACAGTTGAATCAGACTACCATTGAAAGTTGTGTACTTTTGATGGATATATATAAACAAAATAGCGTTATTATCACACCTTGACGCATTCCCTCTATTAAAGTACAAAAATAGAATCAACCATTATGGAAATGACACAGCGTGTTTCACCGGTTTCTAATGTTCTTCTGTGGATTTATAGGAAATAATCTAATTATAAGCATAACAGAACATTGTTACTTTTAATAATATTATGCTTTATTAATATCCTTGTATTAATGTTTCTGATTAAATTGAAATACACTGACTTTCGTGAGTCTTTTGTATTGTTAATCCATAATCAATGTATTTATCATACTTAAATTAATTTATATTGTAAATAGCATATTTTATATAAAAGGTCTCACCAACAAGAGATTATGATTAAAAACAAGAAAACACGACAAGCAATACATGAGGGTTGTTCATTCTTTAAAGTTGCAATGCATCGGAAAACCATGTAAATTTAACAGAAATAAGGACCCAAAATGTGGCTTAAATATTAATTCAGACGATTAACAAACCCTGTTTTGTGCATCTTGTTTGCAATTAGATCGAAATGAATCATTTCTTTTGATTTGGAAAGTTATATGAATATAAGTGTAAGTAAATGACGAACCATCTACTGAGTTTTTTAAATCGAAAAAGTCAAAGAATATTGTTAGCTATTTGAATTTCACATATTCAGGAACTAATAGTATTAGTAAGCATACACCGTCTATGATATGTCACCCGTCGGAATGAAAAATTAAAGGCTTGGATTGTTTCCTAAAAAAGGCCCCTTTCTGTGTTTCCACTAGAAATACCTCTTTAGTGGAGTAAGTGTAGCTATGGTTCATGATCGTAACCATTGCTTCGGCAATATTATTATGGAGAAATGCATGAGCTGGTGCATTGTATATTATATATTTAACAACTGCGACTTCAGTACGTAATATCTTGGGAGTGGACGTTTTTTTCCGTGGCTTTATCAACCGTTTATTGAAACTGTTAAAATATTTACAGAACGAACTTAAAGAACCCGATCAATATAATATACATGACAAGCAATAGGATAACGTTTGTTCCAGAAACATTGCATAACCATTCTTATTGATACCCTGTAAAAAAATAATAATTCTATCGATTTGGATAAATAAAGAGTTAAACTCTACTATGGGATTCCCGTGGGTGCGGTATTATGTCCTGTGTCATCACCACCCTATTGTCAATATATCTATGAACAAACCATTGTTTTAAATCCACAAGAGAGATTTCGAAATAATCAAAATAGACACACACAAAATATAATACATTTTACAGACATCGACGGTCATTGTCAAAATTACAAAATTCCCCCGAAGGCGAACATCACAAAGCTCCATGTTTTTCTTTCTCATTCAAGTTTTGTTTGTTTCAAAGTGTTTTTAGAACTGAAGACAAACCTGGTTGATAAGTTTATTTGTTTTATCTTGAGCCAGACAGGCAAATAAACGTGTGACTTCCTAACTTGAAAAAAATCTTCCGTATTTGATAAGCATGGCACGAGAGCAACTTTGAATTAAAATGACAAAATATTTCATAGAATCGTGGTTTTATTTGTGGTATTTTGCTTGTTTTATCCTAATGTAGCATAACTGCAAAGACGCGACGATGATGGTGGAACATATCTTCAAAGGTAGCGAGTTGCATGCCGTGGATGGATTTAAAAAAAAAAGATATCTGCCACCAAAGGTCTTTATAGGTTATACTGCGGAAACCAAATCGCAAGGATCTAGCTTTACAGTATTTAATTATGAACAATATTACTTAAAATTATTATCTGCTGTTGTAAGCCTGAATCTACCCTTCGTCAAGCAGAAAGCAAATGAAAACATTTTAAGAGTGGGTTATTTGAAACGATGCTTATGATCCATGCAGCCGTCTTCTGAAGCTTTCGCAGATAGTAAATGTACGTGCCAAGGTAATCTGGAGTCAACGAGTGACCTGGGGCGGTATTTATAAAAATTCTAAGAGTTGGAACCAACTCTTAACTGTCAAAAATTACTCCTAACTTTGTAGATTTTCCTAAGACCTATTTATAAAACATTTTACTTTAAGAATTACTCCTAACTTGTTAAAAGTACTCTTATCTTGGTTAACATGGCCGTCCGTGTACGCCGCCTAAGAGAGTTTAAAACAAGAAGAGATTTCTTAGTGGAGTACAACAATGACGAGTTGATAAGGAGATATCGAATGGACATGGGTGGGATTCTTTTTGTGACAGATTTAGTTCGGCATCTACTTACGAGTCCTACTAAACGAAATTTCTCAATCGACGCTGAGATGAAGATCGCCATTACGCTTCGTTTCCTAGCTACTGGTAAAATGCAACTGTGTAGTGGTGACGATTTCGGCGTCAGTCAACCTACAGTGAGTAGAGTGATTGCATGACATCAACACTGAGCTATAAATAACTTCAGGGAATCCCCGGATTTCCCATGGTTACATCGCTAAGAGTTTGGTTAGGATTCAAGTCTTACATTTAGTTAAAAGTAACTCTAAGACCCTTTATAAATATTTCTAAAGAGTAACTTTTTGTTGTTTTATGAAGTCTTAGAGTAAAAGTTATGAAAACTCTAAGAATTTTTATAAATACTGCCCCTGATAACTGCCACGACAGCGGGCCGCGATCGTAACTGACGATACCACCTGTATTGCGCAAATTATTATCAAGATCACAAAGGATGTTTTCTTTTGTTATAAGACACATTATAATGAAAAATAACACTATTCTGTTATTTATCTTGAAGTTGTATACAATTGAACGAAATCTTCTAAATAACAGCGAAGAGTTATGGGCTTGTATAGCCACGTTATTCCCTGGTAGATCCCACGACGTCACCAATTATCTCCACAATTAAATTATGTCCAAGAAAACTTCTTGATTATGGTTATTTCTCTAATGGATTCATCGATTGCAATTCATTCTAAAAGTTACTAAGTCTTTTGATCACCAATCATCATACGAATAGTATGCCAATGAACTTTCAAGTTGAGTGGCTCATTCACAAAATTATGTTTTAGTAATTAACTTTAGCCAGAAGGTATTGACCGTTTTAAGTAATCTTATGTAACAAGTGGTGTGTGATGTTTTCTATCTAGAGGCTATAATATAGACAACTATTTATCTTTAATGTCCAAAACAATATAACAATTCAGAAAACAGAACGAACAACGTGCAACAGACATGACGCATAGACATTACTATTTGTTCTAATAATATTTCAGTGGCCCCGAGCGATAGACTACACAAATATTCCCAGATTTAATTTCTAAGGACTATTTATTCCTTGCAGACAAACAAACATTATTAAAACACCGGTTCGGTTTGTATGATGACATGAACCAAACTACATGATGTCCAGGAGCTACACAAAGCATTTTTATCTTATTCTTATGCTGATGGCCAGTAAATCGTGATTCCACACCTTACTTTGAAGACACTAAAAAAATTGTCAATCAAATCGAACAATCTGGTTTACTATTTGTTCACGGATATTGGAATAACTTACTCGTAAATAATTGAAGTTGACGTGCGTTACATAGAACTATGTTAAAGCAATACTTCCTTAGAATAGTATAATTAAGGGATATCAGTGTTTTGGACGACAATCCAAATTTGTGCGTGCTCATTTACTTGATTTTATAGTGTTTCTAAAGCGTATAATGTTTTGCATATATATTATCCGCGTGTTAGTCTTGTGAGTTTCCAGTTCGCTCCCGATGTTGACCGAGAAAGTTAACAGAGCGTTTTAGGTGTGGTTTCCCCTTGTCAGTGGTGCAGGCCGGAGGGCCTGACAAGAACAGTTGTCTAGTCGTTCAGATGGGACGCAAAGCCCAGGTCCCTTGGCAGTTGGAATTCGATATAATAGTGGGCCGTAGCGTCATTGTCCGGACACAATTTCCCTCACAGCACACGCATTCCCGTCTTCATTAGCCCAGTCGCAGCAGGACAGTAGGACGTTAAATCCCATTTCATTTCATTTCTGAGATTCCAATACATTACTATGTGTGGTGCGGTCCTCTTACTTGTGCCTATTGAAAGTGTGGTCGTACATCTTTTGGCGTGCGTCGTACCGTTTATGTGACCAACTGCAGAGTAGAGATTTAGCTACATTTGGTAAACCTAGCCGGAATGTATCGCTAAAATATTAATTAAAAACGTTTTGCCGAAACGAATAATTAAGATTTTCGGTAATTATTAAAAGAGTTATGTCCCTTGCTTTGAAATTCATCCTGACCAGAGGGCAGATTTTAAACGGTGTATCTCTGCGTCATACAGTTATAGTTGTTGATATGGTTGTTGTCCTAGAGTCTTAACTGAAATTGACCTTTACTCATGTTTCTCTTGTTATATTAAATGAAAAACCGAGGTTCCGTGTATACACATTGGCGTGTACGTAAAAGAACCCTTGACAGTTGGAATTGAGTATAAGAGTAGACCGCTGTCAGGGCGAAATTTCCCCCGTAACACGTTCACGTGCATATAAAAGAACCCTTGACATTTGGAATTGCCGTCAAAGCCCGTCTTCAGTCGCCCAATCGGTGCAGACCAGTAGGACGTTAAATCTCATTTTATTTCATTTGTATGTATCAATTAAAGTTTTAAAACAATGCAGGTGCTGCCACCACTACTACTAGTTATATACTGGGCGGATGAATGGTAACCAAGTCATCTAAGACAACATATTTAACTATTAGTATCGCGAGACAACCTAATATAATTCACTCAAAACGAGTATAGGCTACTTCCCAATCCCCAATTCATAGTTGCCTATTATTGATCAAAGCAAACTGTCATACCACATTAAATCAAAACTGATCTTTATTGTCTGGTGTCCGATCGTATGATTTCTCATTTAAACTCACTAACAGTTTTGACATCTTGGCATACGAGCTTTAATGACACTTCAATACTGATATCCACTATTTTTTGTACAATAATATCGATAGTCCGGTCCGAATTTAATATTTATGAGGTCCAGTAAATAACATTGCTTTGAGTTCTTCAATGTTGTATTTATCTATTATATTCAAACAAATCGAAATAAAAATAAAATTAAAAAATTTGATGTTTAAAGAGAGAGAGAGAGAAATGGGGTTTAACGTCCACTCGACACAAACTAGGTCATTTCGGGACTAACATATGGTTTAATTTTATTTCAATAATTCGCTTGCGCGTAGGGGTCTTTAGCAGTTGGAGGAAACCGGAGGACCCGGAGAAAACCCACGAGGTTGGACAGGCGACCCTACTCCTTGTCACGTACAACCGGGGATTCGAAACCACGCCAGTTGACTCAATGACAGGCCTTAAGATAAAGCGTGCAGCGCGTACGTGCTAACCATTCGGTCATCAACCCCCTTGATGTTTAAAAGAGCAAAATTGTTATTCTATTGAACCTCAAATGGGTCGCAACGCACAAATTAACGTAATATGAATGTATATATAAAAAAAAGTTATTGTAATTTCTAATCCGTTAGTCCAGTCTACATAGGAAGTACGGTTTGATATTTTACCTTAACACTGACTTTTTGCCTCGTTCATCAAGGCACCACATTACAAATGGCACTCGAGAGAATAGAGAAAACGACGTCGCCGACTGATTTCAAAGCGTTCTTAAATATTTGGTAGCAGGAGCCCATATTTTCACGGTAAGAAAACAACAAAAAATATTAAATTATTATTTGTGTTTTAATGTCGAAAATTATGGATAATAGCTAGAGATCCCGTGATACAACGTAGAATTCCCAATGGATCAATAATCCATCTCTCTGACATTTTAATTTCAACTGGTTGATGATTTTTGTGTTAAAATACTAATTTAGGGCTAATGAAGACGGGCATATGCAATGGGTGAAAGACTGAAAGTTTGGCTGGACAGCGACACTGCCGACCTACTCTTATTTCGAATTCCAAATGTCAAGGTTTATTTTACGACGGGAACTCTGTTTTTAGCGCCATTCGAACAACTAGACACTGTTTATTGCCAGGCCCTCCGCCCTGCACCACTGACAAAGAAAATCGCGTCGTAAAATCCCAAGGAACTTTAGCGGCCCAGCGTCTTAGTCACTGATCCACCACAACTTCCGCTTAAGACTGGGTTAGTGCTAGTGCTAAATGATAAGGCCAGCTCAATTTTTCGTCATAGGTCACGAGATGTAAACAGGACTAGCGCTAATCCCAACACTAACCCTAACCCTGGACCTAGCCCCAATACTTACCTTAACCCTAACCTACAATCTCTCCAACAATAAAGTGCCCTAACCTTATTTACATCTCAACGACCTTGACAAAAATTGAGCTGGCCTTAACAAATAGATTTAGCCCTTAAGGCTGTGTGTAGCTCCATCTACCTATCTATCTTTTGGTGATATATCAATGTACTGTTTGCATTGCCTTTATAACGTTCCCTTTTCTTCTATTTGAAATGTGGCTAAGTGGGTGTTCCCTGCATTGGCCGAGAAAGTTCATCTAGATTTTCCGGCGTGGTTTCCCCTTGTCAGTGATGCAGGACGGAGGGCCTGACAAGGACAGCTGTCTAGTCGTTCGGAATGGACGAAAAATTGAGGTCCCGTGTATATATTGGCGTGCACGTAAAAGATCCCTTGGCAGTTGGAATTCGATATAAGAGTAGG